TTCCCCCCGTTGCTAGTGCACGAGTCTCTCGATTTATGTACACATCAATCGTAACAAATGGTCTCTTTTTTTTTTAACGCATCGTGACTCGTGGCGATCTTTTCGTGTATAACGTGGCAGAGAAATATTGTCGTTAAATGTGAAAAGGCGTTAAGCGAGGAGCGCGGCGATTTTTTGTTAAATAAAATGGAAAGTGGCATTAGTTGCTCGTCGTCGCGTGATTCCTCCTCGACTTCAGGAAAGGTCAGGAAACCGAGTTCCATCGAACGACAGGATGTTACAGAACGAGGTCCGTGTTCCTGTTCTTACAAAGGAATTTTCATCGGAGCCAATGGCAGCTGGAACGAGACGACGATCCTTTGACTGAAACGATCGCGAGTGCCTTTCCTGGGCTGCTTTTCATTTCGAATCGCGCCGAGTTTGCCGAAGGGAGAAGCAACGCGGATATTAAAAAGGGGGGAAAATACCTTGTTTTTCTTCACTCCGCAGATTTTTCCACGAGAATTTTCGAACCGGAAAAATAGAGCTGATAGAATTTTTAATAATACGAACGAAATAGATTTCCTTCTTTTTTAATCGTTCTTTGTATTTGTGTAGATAGTTTATCGAGTGCTTGCTCTGTACAGATCAAACAGAACGAAATTGGATTTTATCTTTCAGTTGGAAATATTTTTCTGTGTCTGTGTGTGTTTTTCACCTGCTGCCGGAAATAATTGTTCTTCCACTGATAATCGTTCTTTCCGTCTAGAGGAAAAAGACTTACTTCCGAAAACGTTTTTCTCTTTGCTCACGCGTTTTCACCTGGTGTCGTATCTGTCGATCGACGCGATCTTACTTCGAGCTAATCGTTTTCACGCTGGGAGTATAGTCATCGGTACGAGAAAATAATCTTGAGTTATCAATGGAATTATTGAAATCTTAGTTGATAGTATGAAGTTTCCATTGAGAAAATCTTCTTATCTCGTGTGTTTCTGTAGCTGTTTCTCGAAAATTGTCGCTTTCATTTAACGTTTCTTTGAACGTGCACCCTGTGCATATTCAAGCTGAACCGAAACTAAAATCGTGCCAATAATAATCGAAAAATTTACAATAAAATTCCGTAGAAATGTATTTTCTCTACTTCTCACTCCCCACTGTTTCCACACAAACGTTCATACTTTTCGAAACACCCTGTTCACAGCTTAGCTGAATTCAAACTAAAATCGTTCCAATAATAGTAAAAAATTTTTAATAAAATTCCATAACAAATATCTTCTCTATGCTTCTAATTTTCTACTCGACCACTCGTGTATAAAATTGTAGCCCACTGTAAAAAGGGGTTACTCGTCAACTCTACACGCTACAGTCTTCGAAATCCTCTCTTTAATTGCCCGACAGCCAAAGAAAATGTGAGAAAAAGGGGGAAGATATAAACGGTACCTGAGATCTTCGGCGTTCTCGACGAATTCCATCGTCACCTGGTAATAAACGATCTTCACCGCGAACATGGCGCACCCGCATGATCCACACGCACTGGACAGCGGTTTGCCTCGCGTCGGTTTCGCGCGCGTTTTCAGAACAGAAATGACTGTACGGGACGGGACTGCGGAAATTTCGATGCACGATCGCTGTCACAGCCCTTTGTCCTGTACGCAGCTGCGTGCACGCCGGTGAAACGAACAGAGACGTTCCGTCGAAACGGATATCCGGTATGTTCCGCTGTGCCGGCCTCTCCTCCGCCTCCTCCTCCTCTACCCTCGTTGGTTCGTTCGTTCTTTCGATTGCACCTATGTTGTCGCGACGCGAATTCACCGCGTTAATTACCGATGCGTCCGACGTGCGTTTTGTTGATTTTCGCCCAGACCTCGCAATTTTCCTGCCGTGAAACGTGCGCATTCCCGTGGTCATCCGCGCGATACATGGGAGATTGTTGCACGCGTAGACCACGAGGAATGCGAATTAACCCCTCTTCGCTTATCGATCATGCCGCAACGATAGTTTTTTTTTGAAATTTTGGAAAAGTTGAATTCGGGAAATTGCAACGTTGGACTTTGAGTTTGATAATTTATCGCGGTGACTGTGAAAGGCAAAATTAGAGAAAATAGTGCTGCATGTGATTTAGGAAATTTTGGAACATATTTTCATTAGGGAGATTGCTTAAAATTGTTGAAATAATGGAGAAGCTCCAATTTGATCCGAGATTTTAAAGCGATAAAACTGTCAGTTTCTGTAAAAACGATTTAATTTGAATAGTGATTACAGAAAAGCGCCATTCACAACCTGACACGAACTTTCAATCATGAAACTGTTTATTAAATTTAATGTAGCAACAAATGATGCGAATGGTACGGTATCATTTTCATGGAAATTAAGTAACATTGTTAAAAGGAATTTAGATTTGATTAAAGTACCAGCTATATATTTCATTTTGAACATATTTTTTCGAGCGTATTCAACCTTTTATAACGGAGATAAAACCGACTAAATGTAACTGGTTTCGTTCCCTTTTTCGATACACTCGTAATTGCGTACTTTAAAAATGAAAAAATGCTTCTATCACTGGACATCGATGACAGGGTTAATTAATCGTCGTTAAAGAAATACGAGAAAGACTGAAATTATAAAAAAAAAATAGTGCAGGAAGAAAGTCAAGCTGAAGAGTACTCCTAATATTTTACAAGTTTCAAGTTTCTGAATATTATGAAACATCTGCTAATTGGATATTTAGATTTCTTCGATTTGTACGAGTATCTAAACACGAACGAATTTTCTTATCGTTAAAAAGATCCGCTAATTTTTTGCTCGTTTTCAGTTGCGTTAACGAGAACGCTTTCGATAGACTGTTTGTTGAAAATGGTTTCCTGATACAAACTATATTATACGCATATACAGAACTGATGGAAGTTCCTGTTGTAATTACGCTGGAAGCTACTGTTCGGAACGATGATTTGCTTTTCATTAGCCGCGGTCGTATTAATTAGTTACCTCGACACGAAATTTTTGTAAAATCGTCCGTTTTCCATACGTACCGTAGATTCGTCTCGAAGCAATTGTATAGAACCATCGGCTGGTTGAAATTTATTACGTTCCCTGTTTGCACAAGTTGTTAATTCAATGAAATGAACGCGCGCCGATTGGGAATAAAAGCAGAATTCCGGCAAAGAGCCGACTGACTCGTTAGCGGTATCGCGTCAAGCATGGAGATAGAATTTCTCGAGTTTCTAGAAGCGTCTAATTGGCGGAACTACGACACGCGTGCGATTTATCGAGATGGTTAAAGCGAATAAAATAGATCCGCTCGAGGCAACCATATTGAAAATTTCCACGTGAGCTGAGTGCACCGACTCTCGATAAGAAATAACACTGTACCGTTAATGGGAAATCTTACATATCGTTTAGCGGTTTATGCTGAATGTTAAAATGATTTTCGATCCAAGCTCTAGACGCGGCGCGAAATTCATTTCTTTCGTTTCGTATTATCTGGAAAGATAATCTCGCGGTTTCGTTAACGGGCACCAGTTCGGGGAAAGTATGGTTAAAACGAAATGAAAATTAATGGTCGTGCAATTAGAAGTGTGTAATAACCGCGAATGTGAAATTGCCCCGACGAAATTTCTATTGAAAATTCTCTCCGACCTATTTTCAAATTTCCCGCCGCGACGAGCGCGGTAACGACGCGCTATTTACTCGTGAACGCGCATGCGCCGGAAAATCGTTTCAATGCGATGCAACGATGCAGCATCGATCATCGTGAAATTGTATTCCTATCTGCTGCACTTTGCTGTAAACGATCCAATTTCTACCATTCCGAAAGCCACATTCTCAGCTTCTCCAGTTAAAAGGAAAACAAGGACAGACCGAGAGGTTGGTACAATGAAATTTCTCGGTAATTCGAAACCGTTAATTTCGTACAATTAAACGCCATGTTTTCATGGCAACGACGGAAACATTAGCTTATCTTCGAATTTCAATAATACGTTTATTAAAGCACATGCACTGGAAAATCGTTTGAAACGATCCGCTGATTATTATGAAATTCTATGCCATCTGATAATACTTTTCGTGCGACCCAATTTCTTCTCTTCTCAAAAGCCGCGTTTCCAGCTTTTCCACTTTTAATACCGTATCGTTAAAAGGAAAACAGGGACATAGTGAAATAACGGTACAAAGAAACTCGATGAAATCGCTGCTTTCATAGAAAATCGAGCAATTGGGCATCGTTAATTTCCTGAAAATGACAGAACTTTACTAATTTAGTCGTTGGTGCGCATGCGCCAGAAAATCGTCGGCTCACGAACTTCACCGGAGTTATACGAACACGGGAAGAGTCGTGACGCCGCAAGCGGGAACGTTGAAAACTCGAGAATGCGCAAGGTCTCGACGAGAATCGCGTAATTAGACCACGACCGCGTTAATAAGCGCAGCCTGACCGTGTCGAAATTCCACTAATTAACAATTAATCCTCTACTAATCATAAAGCAGCATCTCGTTCGAACGGGATCGAACAATGTTCGAGACGCGGTACGGTACTGTGCGGCTTCAAAAACTAACCATACATCTATTGCGGTGGATAATGAAAGATAACTGGGAATAGATTAAAGTAATATCATCGTCGGGCATCGCTGGTGTACAATGTATAGTTTCTGCTCTGATATTTATGCACCGTAGAAAAGTTCCAGGCGATTTTTCGAGTTCATTAAAAATCTGGGCCAACGTTATGCCCCTCTACCATCAACCTGCAACGCAATTAACTTACGACGCGGTTAATTTCTATTGTGCTTAATTTCTCTCTCTTGTCTTTTCTCTTTTCTCGGTGTCTCTCAATCCTAGTGTCGTCTTGCTACACGTGCTTTAACAGCCGGAGAAAATTCTCCAAGTGTTAAATTCGCCGATAGGGGGATTTGAACGTAGAGTCAGTTAGATGGCTGCTTTAGTCGAAATGAACCGTTCCAAACGTTACAGGATACATCTTCCTCTAATCGAACAATTTCGCGAATATTTTCTGAAGAAGTATTACTCACCGATGGCATTTTTGACGTTGTCTCTCGTGCACCCATAATGCCTCTCCAAGGGTATGGGTTCCGCTTTGTACTCCACCCATGGTCGACCCCCTGAACGACGAGGCCTGTTATACACGCATGGTTACATAATTATCATTATCGAATAACAATTTCCTGATGAACGTATAACATTATGCACATTGCAAAATATATAAGGGTATTAATGACCCGTCCATAATCAATTGCTTATTTTACTGACCATTTTGAGATAACATGAAATTATTCTATGAAGCGCGTGACTGATTATAAGTTTCTTGCATAAATGAATAACAGTAAAGCGGTATAATGCGGTTGTTCAATCTTTTCACGCTTCGATCCGCAATTATACTAATTCTATTTGCAACTTTCCTAACGGACCGCTATCCACGCTTTTCTTCTCCGCTGCATTTTTACCAATCTCGGTTTCTTTTAATCTCACGAGTTTCACGGTCGATTTAGACGAGGAATTTTGCTCCTCGAGGGAAACGCCATTGCGCAAGAAATATTCTGTTTACCGTATAATTTTTTTCGTGGCCGATAAAAAAGCTTATTGCAAACCAGGCACAATATATAAAATAAGTGAGGAAAGATTTGCGTGGAACGAGGGAAAGATAGGGGGAAAAACTGACGTGAGATTAATATCTCGTGCAGCTGGTGTGTACTTGTAGTAGAATATTTAGTAATACTCTCTATGCACAGGTGGCGTTGAAGGGTTACTCGCTCCCGCTGCTAAAATCCTTGGAGCAAATGGATAAAAAGCATCGAAAGAACTGTACAAACTTATGTTTAGTTGAACCGAAGGTTGTTCCTACGTTAATTTTGTCCAGAAAGGGTCCGAACTTACGGTTTGTGGCCCAAGAAAGAAATTGAAAACATAAAATAACAAAAAAGAGGAAAGGAAAGACCCTCTATTATAAAATACAATGTAAAAACAATTTTACATTAAACTTCTTTTGATCTTCTTATATATGTGTGCAAGTAAAAATCTCCCCTCGCAATTACTTCATTAAAAAATTCCATTTTCATAACCATATATACAAGACAAATAAATTTCACATTAAGCCTCTGACAACACAATGTTTTACAATTTCATTCTAAAGGAGAGCGTTGCAAAACCAACGTACAAAACACTTCGTGATGAAATATTACTCCACTGATGAAAGGTGTTTTTCACAGGACACGTTGTGTGCCTTACCCAAACCCGTCATAGAATAGAAAAACATACATGGGTAGCACGTTAAAAAGGGAGAGACAAAAGGAAGAGGAATTACCATGCACTTGCTGCACAAAGAGGGACGTGAATACATAGTTGCATAGGATGTAATACGTTATTCACCTACCCTTGGGGAGATCCCCGACGATCAGTCGTCGTGCATCCTTGAAGAGGCCACGCCACGCGAAAAACGGTTTACCGGGACGCGGTCGGAAGGGCGCACGCGACAAGAAAGGGAAGATTCGTCTCTTTTTCTTCTTCTACAGTTTTCTTCTCTCTTCTTTTTTTTTTTCGCACAGTTGTAACCCGGTGACACACGTCTAACACGCACGTCACTGATTAGTTGAGCAGAATCCAGAGATAGACTGGCTGGCTACGGGAAACTTCACCACCGCGAACTTTTCACGAAGCCAGGAAGAAGGGAGGACGACACCAGAAAAGTGGTGGTAGGCATCTTTACCACTTCCAGCGCAAGCCACGAATCGTCGTGAATCAAGCGCACGTCACGTGGGGGCGCACTAATTGCGGGACGTTGCTCGTCGCCATTAAGGAGAGATGCACAATTGAAGTAGACGAAATTTTCTTGGCCAAGAAAAGATTGTGATATATCGTGAACGGAGAACATTTTGCGACGCTATTGGCTAATTGTGGAGTCTTGCTACGGACTAGTTTCCCTCTCGGGACCGGAAATGGGATACACGTAACTCAAGTTTCGTGTTAATTCTGAATACAAAAATTCAGATTGCGTTTCAGCAAGCACCCGCGGAGGAGATTGTAGATTTAGATTTTTTACAGGGTGTTCAAAATGTTTAACCCTTTACAGGTGGAGCACTACGTATCGCGTTGAGATACTGATATCTCGTGCAATATGTAATTGTTTCTTCAAATTAAATCATATCGAAATTATATATTTTTTTTAAATACACGTTTTGTTTACTTGAGTTCGTAGATTTTTATGAACGTATACATGGATCATCGACCTTAACCTCTTAACTGTGTAAGGCGAGTTAACTCGTCGTTGTTTAGCCAACACTTAGAACACGATCATTTATTTATCAAGGGATTATCAATTTTGAATCGTATGAACGTAAAATACGTCATATTCACACTTGCAAGAACGGAAAGAAAGAAATTAGTTATAATTCTTACTCGTTTTTAATTATAACCTAGAAATTCAATTTCTGTTTCAAAGGGGAGCGCAGTTATGAAGTTAAAGGGGTTAAAGAGGGGATATATAAGAACCCAGCAATTATTTCATCGAAGCTAGATTTATCAAACGTTTACTATTTCTTTTACACGTGACATGCTCCGTATCTAAATTTTGGCCTTGCCGGCGCACTAAGAATCGGCCAACAACTCTTGTCCCAAAGAAGTAAAAGTAAACGCGTAATATCGAGCGATAAATTGCTCTCGATAATCGAAGCAAGAAAAAAAAAAAAAGAACCTCAATTAAATCCCCCTTATCTTATACAATTTGATTAATTAATTTTTACAACGTGATATTATGCCATCTCGCTTTATAACTTGTATATGCACATAACTTCGAAAACAGCGTGAAAGAAATAGTTCACAGACGTATGACGAAACGAATTACCAATAAAGAGGCCGACTTTCTCCAGATTAAGCTTCGCCTCCTTTAGAATGACGGTGCTTTAACCGGACAAATGTTCTCGTGTTATAATGCAAATGAGCACTTAGCAAACTAACGATATCTCTTTCGACGATCTCGCAACCGATCGATCATTCTCTAAAAACGTCCGTTACAAAAAAAAAAAAAAAATTGAAGATAATCAACGAAACGATACCTCGTTTTCTTTCTTCTTCCACAGACGACGAATTGAAAATCGTCGAAATTGCACGAATCTCTGAAATTGCGTAAACGTCGATCGAAAGACCGGTTGTTGCTCGATTCCAACGAGCATAATTCCTTCCGGCGTGGCTCACGTTTCACGCTATCATACGTACGCTTTTCAATGCAAGCTGCCGGTTTGCACAAACATTCCTCTCGCAGGTTTGCCGAACAGAAAAAAACACACGCCGTTGCATTTCCCGAGCAAGGAAAAACTCTTTCAAGACTTTTTAACTCTCCTTTAATTCCCTTGGCTCAGGATTTTTTTTTTTTTTTCCAACGGTTGCACACACTCCTTGAAGCAAGAGCAAACCTGAAAACTCGGTATCTTCCTAACGAGTTTTGCAAAGGCTTTCAGGCATTATAATCCAGTTCGAAGTCTTGCGTTATAAAGAGCGCGGGTATTTTCGCTAATACGAGGTAACGAGAGTGGAGCAAAATATGTACTTTGATTTAAATGAAAATTACGCAGGCGCGAAGGATCGTGCAATTCGATCGCGAGAATGTCAATTTGGTGAGATGAGTCAACTTAGGCTCCGGTTCTTCCTTTACAATATACAGGGTGTGACCGAAATTTGCATAAGGACAGGCACGAGGTAACGCTTTACCTCTTCAGGGACAATTTTTTATGCGATTAAAATGCCCTCCTTGTTGGAAGATTACGTTTTTCACACTTTCTCTGTGGCAAATATTGAAATGTTGAAAACTGAAGATACACATGCGTGTCAGTGTCCCTGAAGAGATTGAGAAGAGATTGAAACGAAAAAAGGAGAAAAATATAGAATAAAATTTCTTCGTCCGGAAACTCGGTCTTCAAGAAAATCGGGTTCGAAGATCCTCCGCGTACCTGTGCAATTTCAGATAAGATACTCAGAGGTTAGGTTAGGTTAATCGAACCCAGTTTGGCCGTGTACGTGTGAAAATAGTGTATCGATATGTGAATGAGGTGGGAAGAGGACTAACGATCGTTTACCAGTGGAATTCCGGTGTTTCCGTGAACTCGTTCGCGTGATGGTCGCGCGATCGAGAGCTGGATCGCGTTAACCTGGTTAGCAGCCGTTGATATGAGGAAGGTATTAGAGTGTGGAGACCGGAATGGGACGACCAGTATGTACGTGGATCTTTCCGTTGGAAGCAGAACGGAACCGAGCACCGCGATCCGGCTACACGATCTTTGGAAATGCATCCACGAGGCTGGAACACACTTCTGTGTCTTACACGTGAAGGGGGAAAAAGGCGAGGGGAACGTTTTAGAGGCGTGCTTCTTTTCACGGAGTAAGAAGAAGAAGCTCCTTAGGTTGCTGGAAGAAGAAATGTATTTTATGGTTTCGTTTAATTTGGTCAACCAGGTTTAATTACCTGATCGAGCATAAACACTTACGCGTCTGCACGTTCTTCTTTTTATCGAGGAAGAGGCTCGTAGGTTGGAAGAAGAAATAAGTTTTTGGTTTCTTTCACTTGTCCGCTTCTGCGTCTGCGCGTTAAGGGAGAGAAAGACGAGGAAAATGTGCTGCTTTTAATGTGGAGGGTACGTTGTTGGAAGAAGAAATGAATTTGAGGATTGATTAGCTGATTAACTCTACTTTTTCAAATTCTTCCAATTTTGAGTATCGAAGCACGTGCTTGAAAATTGAAAGAAATTGGAGATTTAAAGATGTTGAAGCAAAATGGTTTATGAGTGCTGCATGAAAAATCGACATCCTGGAGTGGTAGGTAGGTTTATGACACGTTCGAAAAATATGGTTTGGGGATGCCTAACACACCAGGTATAAAAGTGCACACTGTCACCACGCTCCGTAAGCAGTTCTAATTGTGCGCCCGTCTTGTCTACGTCTTGTCTGAACGTCTTTTAAAATACAATTATTTACCTTGCTTACTCCACACGAGTTATTTATTTAATATAACCCCTCAATAAAAGAAAATTTAATAAGTTCAAATCGACCGAGTTAGTCACTTTGACTTCGGAATGGCTCGGTCCCATTACCACGCCTCTCTAATTTTACGACCTGACTAGATTTCTTCCACCGACTATACACTGTCTCTCCTAAATTTCGTGAAACGCGAAACTCTCTGACAGTCGATATTTCCACTCGGTACAGATCTCGATCTACCTTTTTCCTGTTTTTATCACGTTGTCACATGCGTAACAGACACCGCTTGGATTGTTCGGCCGTACCGACGAGCCGAACAATAACATCGGTATTTTCAATAGACAGCACATTCTAAAAAGCGAGGTCTTAGCCGCCATGGGCAAATTACTTTATTACACCAAAAATTCGACCACTCTCACATCTGGACACCACATACTCTAAGACAATAAAACAGACCTTCGACATCACCAATTTTCAGACAAGCGATTCTAAAAAGCGAGGTCTTAGCCGCCATGGGCAAATTACTTTATTACACCAAAAATTCGACCATTCTCACACCTGGACACCACATACTCTAAGACAATAAAACAGACCTTCGACATCACCAATTTCAGACAAGCGATATAACAAATGTAAGAACAAATTCCCCACTTTCACACCACCACCAGACACACCCCAAACACACCGAAAAAACCAATCACCACTTACGACAGCCAATCACAACACACACGTAGTTTATAAAATAGCGAACACCACACGACACGACACACAATTTTCCTATCAGTAAGCCTAGACATTTCGCGCTCTGTTCACGTTCATTCGCAAATATATAGTTTTAACAGCAAACTGTTGTGCGTTAATAGTCTATCTTCCGAGCACTACCTGTGTCCCCTATCCCGAGTAGATTAAATGGTCTGACTTAGAAAGATGGACAATTATCGGTTTCGCAACAAACATATCGCGATTCGTAAGAACGTCTTGAGAGTTGATTCCGTACGATCGTGAACAAAGCTCGAAATCCTCGCTTCACCTAAACTGATGTTTCACGCTTGTCTAATTTCCCAACCTCGCTGTATTTCTTCGATAGACTGTACAGTGTCCGGCAGGAAGAATAGCGAGACGTTTCGACGTCGCTGATCCGAAAAAACCGCGAAGAAGAAGGAACAGAATCGCTCTTTAACAAAAGCTTGCCCGAAGCCTGTTAAATCCCATTTCGATCGAACTCCCCTAGAATCGCCACTCGAAAGAAAGGAGTTTACACTCGGAGCGACTCGGAACATCGCGAGAAACGCTTAGCAGGCAGAGTTAAAAAAGAGAAACTGCATTCGATTAGTCCAACCTGGTCGTTTCGATAACGAAAAGTAGCTCGACACTCTCTTGCACTGTCACGCGATAATCTTAGTGTCCCGATAAAAATCTTCGATCTTCGATACTGTAAAATGAATAAAATACCGTTGGCCTTGTTCACCGCGCGTGACAGTATTACATTCGCCTACATTTTAATTATTATCAAAAATTACATCTTCTTCTGAAGCATTTTCATTAGAACTTCTGCACGCAAAGTCTACTTCGACAAATCGTAGAAACGATAAAGTGTCCTCGAGGATGTTGCAAAATCTCCAAAATTCGCCGATAGCATACCTAATGCGATCTTCTCTCGTTCATCCTTCCAAATTCCTCCGCGTGCAATTATTTTCTCTAAATGCCAGGTGACGTGCACGTTTGTCCAGGGTGTTAACGCATTGAAATCACTTTAGCCGCAGATGTGACTGTGACGTATCACCGAGGATTGCCAAGGATCATGGTACCTTTGCCATCGAGGAGCGAGCACTGCGTGTTTACCCTGAAACCAATCACCGACACAGTAGGAGATTTCGTTCGGTTGCTGAAGAAGGAAGATCGTGGCATCGATCGAGCAACCGTGACGACGCTTGGTAAGTCTCTCCCGAGATTTTCCAACGACGCGTCTGCTTAGCTGGCACGTTGAACTTTCGATAGGACATTCTCGATTTTCCGCTACGTAAAGGGTTTTCGTCGTGTTCTCAGATGGTATCAGGATAGGTTCCAACAACACGATCGAATCTTTAATGGAGGATGACTTTCGATTGGTGATAAACGACAACGAGTACGTGGTGACGCCGCCGTTACATCACAAACACACCACGGTGAGTTTTATTATTTATTTTATTATCGCGGTGAGCCTATTCTTCTTCCACGATTTTATTATTCGATCAATTAAATTATTCATATTACACTACTTACTTTATTGCTGTCGCGAGTTCTTCGGTGGTTTTATCATTATCTCATTACTATGGTGTGCTCTTCTTCGATGGTTTTATCGTTATTTTGTTATTTGTTTTATTACTTATAGCGAGTTCGTCTCCAACGATTTTCCTGTTATCGTTATTACACCGAGCTCCTCAGGAGTGATCCTGTTGTTCACTCCAGCCTAAAGATAAAACCAAACAGAACGGGAGTACCATTGTTTCTCGTTTATGTTAATGGTTTCGGCAATTTGCGAACCGTGTTGCATATCTTCGGTATTATAGCTTTTTCAATATGTCTGTGAATGGTCATGTCAACGTTCAGTTTTTGTATGCTGAGTATGAACGATGATGAGATGATTGCGGTTGGTGAAAGGATGATGGATATGATCTTGACACGATGTTATTTCCGGATGTATTTTATCTCAATTCTCCTTCTTATTATTATTACCAGGAAGAGGTGGGAATGTTTTGTTTAAAAAAGAAAATAAATGAATAATTCTGCGTGCAAGCAATTTGGGTCACCGATGACCCGAGCGAAATTTCACTCTTGTATTTCATCGAAATAAATTTCTATCTTTACTGGAAACAATTTTATAACGTAGTAGCAGAGGCTTCGACAAGTATCTCAGAATTTTTTCCGATTTTTTGAAAGCTCAGAACGGTGAAAAAGTTGGACTTGTAACATAAACGACCTGGTTTGCTTAGGGAGTGCGAAAAAATATGTTTTCCTACCGAGGGTTAATTTTACATTGACCCTAAACTGGGGCAACTCTGGCAGCTTTTTTTAACGTAAAAATTAACACGTTTATACTTCTTTGAAATATCCCGTCAATTCACCATCTTCCTATATTTCTTCCACCGACTATACCTGCCGCAATCGCACAATCGTGATAATTATAGTTACTCGTTAAAATACAAAATAAAACCATCGAAAGACTAACGGAATTTCTTTTAAAACACAAGGAAAATGTGTCGACGAAACGTTATCGAGGTGAACGATTTTCTAGGAGAACATAGAGAAGCTATCGGACATCCAGACACTGGTCAGCCAATTGTACGAAGCGTTTCACGTCCGAGAATACTACGCCGACATGGAGAAGCAAGTGTTGGCCGAGCTGGAAACCGTCAGATTGGAACTGGAACCCTTCGAGCAGGTAAATTCATCCACGCTAACAAAGATCATCTTCAACGTCGAATCGTTAATTTTCATAAATCACCGAACACCTTTGCAGCGCATTTCTAACGAGGACAAATTTATCGCACGATTAGAGAAGAGCCGTCGAAGAAAGAAAGGATTCGTAGGACGGAAACACAGGCTGTGAATCGAAGTAAATTGGTCTCTTCGACTCGGTATTCACCACGGCAATGAACACGAACAGATAGAGAAACGCACGGCCATCGATGCTATCTAAATTAAACGGAAGCTTAAGGTGTTGGACGTTGTTATTAGCATTCCAGCTCGTCAGAACGCGGCACGCGTGCACAATTATTCAACGAAACGCCGTACCATCTCTCTCTCTCTCTCTCTCTGCTTCTCCTCTCGTTGCTCGTTTTCTCCTCGCCACGATGTGAATTAATACATCGCTTCGTGGTTTTAATTATCACCCTGTATATGTGTAAGCGGAGCTCTTACACGATCGCGTGTGGGCCAATTATAACCGCCTCCTTTATACACTCTTCTGTACCGTGTACAAAAATCGTATCAGCGCTCTTTAGAATCTGTAAAAAAGAAAAGAACCACCACGCTTGTATTATATTATACCACGTCTCTTAATTATGTAAGACACTGTTCGACCGCAGTTTCCTTTGTACTGTTCCGCCGCCGTTTCTCGGTGTGCAACATCGACAACGAGCGTAGTATCACATGTACGAGATAGAATGAACGGTGCAGCTAACGTGCTCGTACACTAGGAATGATAAAACGCGGAGATAAAGCTTGCGTTCGAGACAATTAACGGATCGTGCCTCGACGGTGATTCTGTAGGAACGATTTAACATTCGAGGATTATGTTCTTAGGATGGTATTTCTAAACGTTGCCTTCGAGAAGGATATTGTTTTTTTGTTGTTGTTGTTAATTCGTTGCTTGAGACAACGTGGAAGAATATTCTGAGATTGTTAAGAAAAATGGTAATGGAACGGTGGTTTAGGATTGTAAATAATTTGCGGTTCATTTTTTATTCGTGTGACCAGAATGCACCGGCAAAGTGTACAACTTTTCACGATGTAGGTATTATATTGCTTTAAAGATTGCCTGAAAGTGGTGTATTTTAATCTTACGTATGAAGGATTTTTTTTGATGTAATTGGATTTTTGATCAGATTAAACTGATTAGTCTAATATGCAAATTTCCTTGTCTGTTGTAGAAGCTGCAAGAATTAGAGACCACCGCTACCAGAAAGGCAAACATAATTGTCTGGGTGATTCTTGTGCTGATGTCAATTCAATTCAGTGGCCTAGCCAGACTAACCTGGTGGGAATACTCGTGGGATATAATGGAACCGGTTACATATTTCGTTACTTACGGCACCACCATGGCTTGGTTCATCTACTTCGCCGTAACGAAACAGGTTACTACTGCAAAATTTTGTTAGCTAGATCAACGAAATAAATGAGTTCCCTTTCAAATAAAAAATCTTGCTGTATTTCTTTGTGTTGTTCGGTGTTGAAGAAAATACTCAACTAAATCTAGTTTAGATAAAAATTTAAGCTATACTACGTTGCTAGACACCATTGATCAAGGATAAAGTTCTTTTAAAAACTAACGTTATTTAATAAAGTTCAGTTTTACATACGTTATTCTGCACTAACAGGAATATATGCTGCCCGACGTGCTGAGCAGGCGACAACTCATCGCGCTCCACAAGAGAGCAAAAAAAGCTGGACTGGATCTGAACCAGTACAATCTGTTGAAGGATCGAGCTTACGAGCTGGAAACCACTTTAAAGATTATTCGAGGACCACTATACGAACATAGGACCCGTGTCGAGGAGAAGAAGAGGCAAAGGTCGAGCTCGAGTAGTTCATCAAGATCACCGAGTTCCTCGCCTAGTCCTAGTCCTAGTCCTAGCCCGGAAAGGAGTCTTCCTAAGAAGGGGATATTTCCAGAGAAAGACAAATCGAAGAAATCGATTCACGAAGAAATTCCTGGAGAGAAGAGGGTCTATTGATCGCGGAAATTTTAAGAGAGAGGAATCTCGTTGCAGGGAAATTGGAAAGAAATTTTTCGATTGAAGAAACCACAAAAACAAAAACATGCACTCCGGGTGATCGACAGAATGACACATGTAGAGTAAGAGAGAAAGTAACGTAACCAGAGAAAAGAAAAGAAGGGAAACGATTGAGTTTCTTGTCGCGTGATTAAAGCTGCAGACATTCTAATCCTCGACAGAGTCTTCCGAGTCGTACGACGACACTCCTAATCAACGAGTATGTGTATAGTATATTTGCCCGATGCTCAATGTTGTTAACTGCTGTGCATTTGGAAGACGTCGAAGAAAGAAGTGTATATATCGCACAGTTTTTTACGTATGACTAACATTGATTAAATGAGAACAGGTTCGAGGAGAATCGAAGGAATTAGGGAACTGACATGACGTTGTTGAAATGGTATTTGTTTGTGACATGTCGATGCGTAGGATAATTCATTAGAAACGGGACACCTGAGTATCTGTTTTAACGTTAAATAGTAAAAAAGGAAAGAAAGTATTCGAGGCTGGAACGAGTGCAGAAGCACAAGTAATTTACCCTATCTTTTTATTTAATTAATAGTAAATTCGAATTTTAATCTTAATTTTGCATTTCAATTTTTATATTCAAATGAAAATTCTACAACGAAAAAGATAAATAAGCCCTCTATTTCTAGTGAATTATCCTACACATAAATACTTATATATTATACTGTTACATTTGTGATAAGTTGATATTTTTAGTTATAATTCAATTACCTCTATTGCAATTGTTCGCAAAAAAATGCGATGCGTTTTAAGGACAAATGGACGACTAACGCTCAAAGATTTTAATTTAAGGATTGACTTCTTCGCGTCGAGACATTACTTTTTCTACAAGATGATATATTGACAGTGTTGTTAATGTAAATATACATTTTCTTTTCTCCATAAGATCAACGAACAGAATTTTATCATAATGGACGTGGTACAGCGTACTTAACTTTCGTTTAAACCGACTGTTTTCACTCGTTCTTTCAAGAAAGAAGCGGTGTACGTATTTAGTAACAAATGATATTGATGGAATTGATCACTTTTAATTGTTCAATTTCACGTCCGTTTTGTTGTAATACTAAATGTAACATAGTTATTGTTTTATCGAGAACTAATTACTTTTGCAAATCTATTTAACTGCGTTCTTCAAAAGTTTTTATCGAAGAACGTTTCGATCAGCGTTGCTTATAAAATTTCGCGTTCAACAATCTCGCTTCATCGCTGTTCATAATAACATTTTAACATTCGATACTTAAAACGACACTTACTTCACTAAATCTTTTATTCCTCCAAAACTAGTGGTGACACAATCAAACGTTGAGGAATTTTGTGCACTAGTACAAATTTTTGTGCACTAAAAAAAAAAGCGTACGCTTAACACTACTATTACTACTGTTACGCTTTAGAGTATCGTTCACGAAAGTATCTTACCGTAGGATTAATATAGATTACTATTTCTAGACGACACTTTAAGAAACTTTCTCTCGCTTTCGTAAAAATCCCTTATCCGTCCGCTCGAATAGCCCGCCAGCCTATTTAACGACAATTATATTAATATTTTGCGTTCGAAAGCACATATGCGTGATTATATGCTGTTGCTACATATTCTCGACTTTTTTATGTAACACTGTTCGTAAGAAAATTGCCGCGATTGAAAATTTCTTGGCACCATAGCCGCGCGCTGTTGTTGCAAATGACTGCACATTCAAAGAATTGAAGATATGTTTCAAAACTCTGTGCTCAAAGTATATATAAATATATTTTCATGTTCTACATCCGTTACACGATCAGGCGTGTAATATAGACGTTTGCCGTATTACATATACTCTAAAATGTACCTCAACTTCCACAGTCAGTGGTAAAATGTAGAGAAATTGCGTTTAAAGGTATACTAATAGTTCTCTAAGCCGCCACCAACTTAGATAACTTGACATACCTACACAAGATTATGCACGATTTCAGAGCACTTTTTTTAAAGCACAGGAATTGAAAATGCACGCTTTGCTTTCTTCTCCTGTTTCAGTATTTCCCTTCACTCAAACAATCGCTTTAGCAAAATGATCTAGTGCCAATATTCAAATCGTTGTTTCTATAATTCGCAAAAGTGACTTCAAAATTTGTGTAAATTGGTTCGAGATTGAAGGATACACGACAGGCAATGTATAGGGTGTCCCGGAACGAGTATATATGATACAGCATAAAACACCCTGTATGTTGAAAGAGGAACATTAAAAGAATACGTGATAATTGTAACTATAATATTGCTTCCCAGAAACGAATTTCTTGTCCTCGCAAAAAAACTGTTCTTTCTGACATATTTTTTACAATCTTTAAGAAAGATTTCGTATACAAGTTTTTGTACATATATTATAAAAGGATATTATATCGTATACATAAATGTACATGTATGGTTATTTTATGAACATTCTTGTTGCATCGTTCTCTCAGAGCTTACAAAAAAAGAAAAAAGAAAAATGCCTAACTACTCAACCGGTATATAGGTGACAATCGATCGAATTTATGTCCGTGTTTCTATGCCGATGTACCACTTGCAGTATAGTTTGTTTTAATACACGGAATAAAATTGGTGGAATAAACGAAACCCGAGACTATATTGCATCCTTACTTCAGATAGTACTTATCGATTAAATGTGAGACAATTGTAAACTACATGATTCACTGACTCCGTTATCGAAACACCTGCGCACATCTGTGAAGATCTCCTTTTCCTTTCTACATCGATCAGTCAGAAATCTCACTAACCATTTAACGATTTGCGAAAGCGTTCTTTTAACTTGGATTGTCGTAACGCTAATTACTAATAACGCTGTAGAATATAAGCTATTGGCGTTCTGAATCAACGTTGAATTTTTCAATGATCTGAGTTCAAATCTCAGATAGTTTAATGTAATAGTTGATTTGAACCTCGGTTGCATCTGGAATATCGCATGATTATAATATGTATATATAAAAGTCCCTCATGAATGCATAAGTATTTATACAACCTTGAGTTGTGCTGTGATTTACGTCCATGTATCTAGTTATACATAAAAGAAAGATAATTGAAAATAAAGTGAAATATATGCAAAATATCATTTTTTTCTTACTTCATACCAAGATTATTCCTATGCATCTAATTATCTTAGCAAAGAGCCGAGTCGAACTTTTATTAAAAAGAGGATTTCATGAAGAAAAAGATTCTAATTTGCACACAGAATTATTAACTAACTTCTTTAACAAAATGCAATATTCCTTATTCATTTTCTACGAAAATACAACAAATTATACGTTCGCCTTTTCACGTGCTCTGTTATAAATATAAATATGTTCCATACAATAGAAAAGAAGAGAAAAGAATTAATAAGATAGAAAAGGAGAGAAAGAATGTTCTATAAGTTAAACAAGGACAACACGATAACATCGAGCGATAGTAACGCCATCTCGCGTTTGGCTCCGCGAACTAACGACTCGTTACTCGGATCACAGAATGTGAACAGAGGTATTAGACAAGGAACGCACTAGTGTGCGACAAGGATAGAGAGAGAACGTTTCCTATTGGCTGGCGGCCCGCCATACTTCGACTCTCGGAACCTCAGCCACGTGGTCCGGTGAATAATTGTTAATAACTCAATAATTAGGATGATTCTGTGAACTTTTAGAATTGAAGAATAAAGTATGAACCATCAGCAATTTTCACATATAGGTTTTAATGCACTAGACCCCTTTAATAATTAGTTATTAACAATTTTAGTAAGTGCTCTCGGGTGCTCTCAAATGTTATAAAGAATTGCTAATAGTTAATAAACCGCGTGACATACGTTTACAAAAATTATCACAGAATGTAAAGGAAAGTCCGTACTACATTCTTCAATCTTAAAAGTACACAAATTATCCCGCAATTCCATGAAATTTAATTAAACTGACAGAAGAGCGTTACGTTTGAATTCGACGAGTGTAGCATTCTCCCGAATAATGTTTAATAACTCTCACACTACGGCGAATATGTTACTAAAAATTACAGAAGAATGTAGCCAAGGATACTGCCTTTCAAATGCATACTGAAACTTGTAAAGGAAATTATTATTAAGCAACGATATTAATAATAAAACCGCAAGGGACTGCCGCGGCATATCGTATCGTTCCCGACATCACGTACTAAAATTGTTAATAACTAATTATTGAAGCGACTCAGGACTTTAAAAACTATATGAGAAACTGCTGAAGGTTCATTCTACATTCTTCAATTCTAAAAGTTCATAGAATTATCCTAATTATTAAGTTATTAATGATTTTTCACCGGCCGACCTGACTTAGCGTCTAGGAAGCGGAGTATGGCGGCTCGTCAGCCAATAGGAAGCGTTTTCTCTCTATCCTTGTCGCACACTAATGCTATCCTTGTCTAATACCTCTGTTGATATCCTGTAATTCTATTAAGAAATCGTAGTTCGCGTCACCTAACGCTAGATGGCGTTAGTTTCAGATTGAACATTTTCTGTCCTTATCTCATCGTATTCCTTTCCTTGTCTTACTCATTACGATAGTACTATCCTTCCCTTCCCCTATTTTCCATCCTTGTCTAATTCATTTCTCCAGTGCTATCCTTCTCTATCACTATTCGTTTCCTTGTCTCTCTTCGCTTTCGCTATCCTCGTCATCTCTATTGTATTTAACTGATACAATCAATTTTGAATTGCTTTAGCATTACTAATAACATAAATAGTAAAATAAAGTTTGTGGTTTATATTCAAGTATTTTAATTATAGAATAATTAGTGTTCCTTGCTAAATAACAATTTGGATAGTCGTTTATAACTATTGGAAGTATTAAACAAATTTGTTGCAGGATGCAACTTAATAAAATAGCTTAATTTGTTAATTTCGCATTAAATTAACAGTTGCATGCAGTAAATTAGTTAGAAATTGTTTATAACTTTTACAGAAAATTGAAAAATTAACGTGCTTTTTGTGTGAATTACACATGGATCTTTCAGGCCACCAAGAGAATGAAAGAAATGACTTCAACATCAGGAAACATCAAGAAATGCAATTAGTTATCAAAAAATAAATTATTTATCGTAAGATAAGTGTACAAAATGTATGTTACAAAAGATTACAGTATACCAGTATTGTTTTACAGCATTTCACTGTCTATTTATTTCAAAACACTCATTGTCTAAATAATATTCCATTATAAAATTAAATAAACTAAGTCCGGATATCGTTAAATGCCGAAATTCGAGCGAAAATTACGTGAAAATAGCGTCCGTGATGTAATTACACTTCATATAAAAACTTTCTTATACTAAAGAATAACGCTTTTACCAGTAACATGATCAGCTGGTGACAAGCGCACACGACGTGTGCGCACTACATAATTAGCAATAACGGTACATAGGCAGCTGTGGTAAACCTTACGTGTTTACAAGAATATCGAAAATAATGGGGCGAACCGTATATGCCGAGGAGCGTCTTTACAATTATTTAACGTCATTAGCAAAACCAGACGAATACACGATAGGACTAATTTTGGGACAGGTTCGATTTTTGTATGTTTCAATTTCACGTCATCTCTGCTGTTTTCATTTGCTTAACATATGTAATTCTTAATCAAGGCATTTCCAAGTTACTTCAATTATTATAGATATAATATTTTTGTAAAATGTTTATCAAAGTAAATACAATTTCATTTTAATTCAATGCACATCATTTTTAGCATTGATGTATTAACTCAAAGGTTAGGATATTGCAGTTGTCAAAGTACAGCACAGTAATAATGAATGAACATTGATTTTGAAGACATATTTATATATTATCTAACTTTTGCTATAATTAATGTTACAGAGTGTTGGTCAAAAAGATTTTATTGTACACTTAGCAAAAACACCACCACCGCTTGGTAAAAATGTGGTTGAAGAAACATTGCTGAGTTCTACAACAAATTCTCAACAAAATGTTACTGAAAATCACATTAAATCAGTGAAAGATATACCTGAGAGTTGGGTTGCAGATCATGCAAAACATGTATGTCTATTGTATTTTAAATAATATGCCAAACATATTGAACTACTATAATTTGGAATGTTACAAAAGTTTAAAGATTCTTAACATTATTTACAGGTTACTAGAATGTTACCTGGTGGAATGCATGTTCTTGGTACATTTATAGTTGGACCAGAAGATACTATAATTGATAGAGAGAGAACTTTTCCTATTGGCTGGCGGCCCGCCATACTTCGACTCTCGGAACCTCAGCCACGTGGTCCGGTGAATAATTGTTAATAACTCAATAATTAGGATGATTCTGTGAACTTTTAGAATTGAAGAATAAAGTATGAACCATCAGCAATTTTCACATATAGGTTTTAATGCACTAGACCCCTTTAATAATTAGTTATTAACAATTTTAGTAAGTGCTCTCGGGTGCTCTCAAATGTTATAAAGAATTGCTAATAGTTAATAAACCGCGTGACATACGTTTACAAAAATTATCACAGAATGTAAAGGAAAGTCCGTACTACATTCTTCAATCTTAAAAGTACACAAATTATCCCGCAATTCCATGAAATTTAATTAAACTGACAGAAGAGCGTTACGTTTGAATTCGACGAGTGTAGCATTCTCCCGAATAATGTTTAATAACTCTCACACTACGGCGAATATGTTACTAAAAATTACAGAAGAATGTAGCCAAGGATACTGCCTTTCAAATGCATACTGAAACTTGTAAAGGAAATTATTATTAAGCAACGATATTAATAATAAAACCGCAAGGGACTGCCGCGGCATATCGTATCGTTCCCGACATCACGTACTAAAATTGTTAATAACTAATTATTGAAGCGACTCAGGACTTTAAAAACGATATGAGAAAGTGCTGAAGGTTCATTCTACATTCTGCAATTCTAAAAGTTCATAGAATTATCCTAATTATTGAGTTATTAATGATTTTTCACCTGCCGACCTGACTTAGCGTCTAGGAAGCGGAGTATGGCGGCTCGTCAGCCAATAGGAAGCGTTTTCTCTCTATCCTTGTCGCACACTAATGCTATCCTTGTCTAATACCTCTGTTGATATCCTGTAATTCTATTAAGAAATCGTAGTTCGCGTCACCTAACGCTAGATGGCGTTAGTTTCAGATTGAACATTTTCTGTCCTTATCTCATCGTATTCCTTTCCTTGTCTTACTCATTACGATAGTACTATCCTTCCCTTCCCCTATTTTCCATCCTTGTCTAATTCATTTCTCCAGTGCTATCCTTCTCTATCACTATTCGTTTCCTTGTCTCTCTTCGCTTTCGCTATCCTCGTCATCTCTATTGTATTTAACTGATACAATCAATTTTGAATTGCTTTAGCATTACTAATAACATAAATAGTAAAATAAAGTTTGTGGTTTATATTCAAGTATTTTAATTATAGAATAATTAGTGTTCCTTGCTAAATAACAATTTGGATAGTCGTTTATAACTATTGGAAGTATTAAACAAATTTGTTTCAGGATGCAACTTAATAAAATAGCTTAATTTGTTAATTTCGCATTAAATTAACAGTTGCATGCAGTAAATTAGTTAGAAATTGTTTATAACTTTTACAGAAAATTGAAAAATTAACGTGCTTTTTGTGTGAATTACACATGGATCTTTCAGGCCACCAAGAGAATGAAAGAAATGACTTCAACATCAGGAAACATCAAGAAATGCAATTAGTTATCAAAAAATAAATTATTTATCGTAAGATAAGTGTACAAAATGTATGTTACAAAAGATTACAGTATACCAGTATTGTTTTACAGCATTTCACTGTCTATTTATTTCAAAACACTCATTGTCTAAATAATATTCCATTATAAAATTAAATAAACTAAGTCCGGATATCGTTAAATGCCGAAATTCGAGCGAAAATTACGTGAAAATAGCGTCCGTGATGTAATTACACTTCATATAAAAACTTTCTTATACTAAAGAATAACGCTTTTACCAGTAACATGATCAGCTGGTGACAAGCGCACACGACGTGTGCGCACTACATAATTAGCAATAACGGTACATAGGCAGCTGTGGTAAACCTTACGTGTTTACAAGAATATCGAAAATAATGGGGCGAACCGTATATGCCGAGGAGCGTCTTTACAATTATTTAACGTCATTAGCAAAACCAGACGAATACACGATAGGACTAATTTTGGGACAGGTTCGATTTTTGTATGTTTCAATTTCACGTCATCTCTGCTGTTTTCATTTGCTTAACATATGTAATTCTTAATCAAGGCATTTCCAAGTTACTTCAATTATTATAGATATAATATTTTTGTAAAATGTTTATCAAAGTAAATACAATTTCATTTTAATTCAATGCACATCATTTTTAGCATTGATGTATTAACTCAAAGGTTAGGATATTGCAGTTGTCAAAGTACAGCACAGTAATAATGAATGAACATTGATTTTGAAGACATATTTATATATTATCTAACTTTTGCTATAATTAATGTTACAGAGTGTTGGTCAAAAAGATTTTATTGTACACTTAGCAAAAACACCACCACCGCTTGGTAAAAATGTGGTTGAAGAAACATTGCTGAGTTCTACAACAAATTCTCAACAAAATGTTACTGAAAATCACATTAAATCAGTGAAAGATATACCTGAGAGTTGGGTTGCAGATCATGCAAAACATGTATGTCTATTGTATTTTAAATAATATGCCAAACATATTGAACTACTATAATTTGGAATGTTACAAAAGTTTAAAGATTCTTAACATTATTTACAGGTTACTAGAATGTTACCTGGTGGAATGCATGTTCTTGGTACATTTATAGTTGGACCAGAAGATACTATAATTGATAGTAATAATGTACAAAAACTCAGATCTGTTCTTACAGCAATTCATAAAAATTTGTCACATAATAAATATCTTTGTGGAGATAATAATGAAGAGCATCTCATACTGAATTTAAATAGTATTACACAAAAGTATGTTGCATTATAATCTATTTAACAACAACTTGATTAGTTAAGTACTATAGTGTGACATATTTTTAGGTACACATGTAAATCTATAGAAACCAGTAAAACTGGAATGTTGAAGCCAGCAGATTGGAAATTTCAAGCTAAAGCAACTAAATGGCACCAACTTGAAGCACTTGTAGATTTTGATCGTTTGTTTTTCATTGCTGCTGATAAGGATCCAGAAACTCTCAAAAAACAATTACAAAATATTTTAAGAACTGTATCGGATATCATTGAGTCTTCTCTTATTGTTATTGAAGGAGAGGTTCGATCCCCAGATGATTCATTAGAAGTAATCAGCAAAAGTAAAAAAGATGAAAAAGGATGTAAAAATAATGAGAAAAATAATAATGACAAATCAATTCAAATTAATTTGTACATTCCATGTGTAAGTACTTACATTTATAAAAGACTAATCTTTTCAATATTATTAAATGTCCTTTTAAATAATTACAATACCTTTATCAAATGTATTAAAATATCGCATGTTAAATAGATGTAACACAGTTTGTTTTATGAATTAGCAAGAAAAAAATGTTAGTTCAGATGTAAGGATAACTCCATGCAGCGCGTCTATACGTTTAGTTGGCCAATTAGTGAGTAGGACATTCGTTCATCAAAAAGCAAATGTCGAAGAAGCTAACACTGCGATAAAACAAGACATAATAAGGTCGTTGGCGAGTAGACTAGAAATGCATTGGGATAGTTTAATTGAAGAAGAAAACGGATCTCCCGAAGGTATCCATTCTAACATATAAGAAAATTTCTTATTAAATATTTATAAACAGTTGTTGTTCATTCTATTACTTTATCTCAGAAAATATAACTTTACATGAACCTCCAAGAAGAGTATTAATAGCATTGCCAGAAAGTAAAGTAACATTGTCTGACTATCTGTTTCCTGGTGAAGGGCCTCAAGAAGCTCTTTTATCATTACAAGAACTCCTAGATTTAAAAGTTCAAGAAAGTAATGTTCAAAAGGATATAGAGCTTCAAGCTGGTAAGTATAGCATACTTCAATATATTATAAAAAGATTATGCATATGTGTATAGTATTACAAATTTTTTAAACAGATCCCACAGAATTTTATTCTCAAAATGAAATTGATATAAAAGCTGTTGATCTTGGTACAGATTCGTCTGGAAGTTATCAAATGAGAGTATATATCACTGGTTGCAGTATTGCAATTTTAATTTTAATTCTTGCTATTATAATACACAAAATTTATTAATATGAAAAATGAATATAAAGTTGTTTATAAAAGAACAAACTTATACTTTACTGCAATATGTAAAGTATGAAATCTGTACATTTTAACAAATGAAGACAAGTAGAAATACTTGCTTAAATATGATGATGATATATTTATACATATTAAAACTTCGACAGATCACATTGTTTGTAAATTATTATGTGAAAGTATTAAATAATGAATCTATATTATAAATGATGTATACATTGAAGATATTATTAACCGCGGGTGGTGATACCGTATCAACAATTTTATTTCAATACTTTGTGTCACAATTAAATATTTTTGTAAAGGTATAAATATAATGAATATAAAACAAATAACTGAATAAAAATGCTTTTATCTGTTAAAGGTAGTGCACAATTTCTTTTCCAAAGTACTGATTGTTACATGCATCATCATCGTTTCATAAATCTTAAAGAATTTTTAAGTAGGTTTAATATGACATAACATACCGATATATTTTTAACTTGTAGTATATTATTTTATCATAATATATAATAACATCTACACAATATATACATATAGTATCATACACGCACAATATGTACAAAAAGACAATATTCTCAAAGTTAATATAATGGCAACCCTTATAAGATAAAATGACAACTAGTAGTGTCGTTTCTTTTTTCATTAATTCATTGCATAAATAATGTCTATTTCCTGATTATACCAAATTAAATAACGACATGCAATGTCGATGCACGAGTTACTCGTAAATTAGGCAGTGGTACTTCTATTTTTAAAATGCTTGGTACAATTCACATTGCTTTAACAAATTCTTCAAATGCTTGCAAAACTATACTAATATTTATGAAAATTCTTGTATTTACAAAATTCTCTTTACACTGTACATAGCAAATTGAATAAAGATAATACTTATTTACCAATGTGGAAAGTAAAAATTAAATAATACCTCGTACTTTGAGTACTAACTAATTCGTAATGAAATAAAAAATTTCAATTTTTAGGAATTGTAGTTTCTTCAATTTTGAAGAATTTCATTTTTCACAATTCTCTTTAAAATGCGCATAAATATTTTTTAATAATATAATTTGTGCACACACATTAACTACACTTTTTTCTCCCTATTGTCAAATGAATATTTAACCACAAATTCTTATGTGTGTAAAGACTTTCAAGTGCAGATATTACTCCAATTAGAAGTGAAGTTTGTTAGTCCAGTACATTGTGTGACAAAAGTAAGAAATTGGAGCTTGTGTTAACAAAAAAAAATATATAAATTCATGTTAAGATGATTAAGTAGTACATTTTCCTTAAACCACATATTTTTCGTTTATGTATAATATTAAGAGTATCGTAATATTTTGAATTACCACATTTTTATAATCTTTTGTTTATACACAACTACTATACTGCAAATAGAGAATAGTCCCATTTGCTAACTCTGTATAATGAAAAAAGAAAGATGTGAATGGCTGGAATGGAATTAACAATGCTAAATGTAATGAATGAATGAATAGTGCAGATCAATAAAACAAATAATAATCATACCATTACCCAACCTTGTTAACAAAGACTTTAAATAAATTCACCATAAACCAAACAATAATTGTACTCTTTTACTCATGCACTGTTTTTGTGCTCCTACATAGTATACTGCAGAATAATCATTAAATTTTTTAAAAAGTATACAAGAGTAAAATAAAAAAGAAGTTAAATTTGATCTGCACTATTCTTTGGTAAGCGTCAAGACTTTAAAGAACTATGAATCTAACTAGATAAAATGTATAAGTATAATTATTTATACTGCTCCCATTTTTATAAGTCCTGCTTGACTCCCTCTACCCACACTCGCATCTTCCAACGAATCTAAGTCTAAAGCAGACTCTATCATGGTAGTATCTTGTAACAATCTAAGTCTAGATGCAGACAAAGGTGTTGTTACAGTTACCGAAGGTATAGAGGACGTATCCAACGTGGAGGAAACCACCACACTTTGACGAGAAGGCAGCGGAGCAATTTCATCAATATCAATTGGAGCTATATTAAGTGATGCTAGTGGTACTTCATTGGTAACAAGTTGGCTCACGCTGTTCGTAGTGCTACCTAAAAACAAATGTCCAATAATAATGAAACGTTTTAAATGGTTTCACAATATATAAATTTTCGTGTACAATATACGAAAAAAAAATATTAGAGTTTCAATAACTGGCATTAAATTCCAATGATAAGCTGCTATAAATGCTCATTAGCAACAAAAATTACATTATGCAACTTATTGCAAAAGTGCTGTACTGGCTGTGTAGGATTTTTGTGTAAATAAATAAAATAAATTGAAAGTAAACTGCAATAAAGAGAATATCCCAGGCATTACTGTGTTTCTTATGTATACATATGTTTGATTAAGACTGAAAAAAGTAATAATAAATAACTTACATGATAATTGTTGTATGGTATACAACAACTTTAGCATTACACATACAACTATAAATCTATAAAATATCACCTATACATGGAACTATGTGCGTACTTGTTTTGTACATGAATAAATATACATATATTTATATACATATTGTATTTTCAATAATCCCAATGCCCATAATATAATTATAAACTAATTAATTAGTCACAATCCATAAACCCTTGAATTGATATAACATTTTGAAATTAGTCTTCAAGAGTGTAGAAGGAACACATCATGTGTAAAGTGTTTATTAACAGCTATTAATAAATATCAATTCATTCATATTAAACATACACACAATGATGGATGGAATAAAAGAAAATTAACTTACCAAATGGTATGCTCTGAGCCCTCGATAACAGGACGTAATTTTAAACAACAAAGAAATACAATTTATTGAATTGCGTAGAGTATGATTAAATGGTAAAGAACTTAAATTTATCTTATGCACTTCATGATGGTTCAGATCTGTATTCAGATCAATTTCTTTAAAATCTTAAAGATTAATGTTATAAAATAACTCGTTGAATTAAATATATCATGTTCCATTTGTTTGTGTTATACTACTTAATGTAAATGTAGTATAAAAACAAATAATTATATTCACATATTTTCGAAAAATATGCCACTACAAAGTATTAAAAGTTATAATGAAACTATTGTTTCAGTCCTTTTCTCAGTCAAGATATATAACATTATAACAAGAATATTAATTTTTCTTTTTCTTTTAAAAAAAGTATCTATGTGTTCAACACGAAATTGAACAGTCAAAAAATAAATAAATCTCTGTTAATAACAATCAAATTCAACTTGAATGTTCTTTATCTATAAAAATCTATATAAGTTATAGCACAAGAAAACATGAACAATCATCTTAATAATTATCTTTGTTAATATTAATATTCTTTTACATATCATTATCTTCACTAATATTTATATACATATTAAAAATCTTTTATGCTATAAGCCTTCTCTAATAATAAACAGATAGAACAATAAAACTTATATTATTTTGATTCTAACACACTAAAAGAATTTTCCTCTAACAAGTACGCTATAGCCGTTTATATTTTCTTTCAATATGTGGGATAATATTATTTAAGGGAAAGAAAAAGAAACTATTATACAGAGAATTAAATATCATCGTTATCGCTCATTGAACTCATGATAAATCTCCGATTTAAAAGATCTTCTTCGGTACTATCGCTTAGGCATAAAGAATTTTCTGCATAAGAGAAAGTATTGGTCAGAGGTCCTGAATCGAATCTATTAACTGCAAGTCCTATTGCATTTTGACCAATAATTGGCATCCCTCCTGCTCCCAATATTCGCGACATTACAACTGTTGGTAAAAGATTCTTTGGTATTGGATATTTTAAACCGTGAACAGTGCATCTCAAATTATTATACTTCAGAGCATGTTGAGATTGAGAAATTCGCAATGGATCTTTTCAGAATATCTTTGTGGATACTTCTGAAGATCGATACCATACTTTTGATCACCGACACACTGATCATATATTACATTGTTATCCGAACATCTATGATATTCTTCCCTACATCTATGTGGATATTTATGTAAATTCTCTTCACATTTACATGGATATTTCTGAAAATCAGGATTTCCCCTATCTGTATCATACTTTAAATGTTTTACAGAATCCTGGAAACAATGCTGTAGGGGATACGTTGGAGCGTAAGTATCATTTATATACTGACGTGGATACTCCGGTAGATCCTCAGGATAATGAGCAGTATGCCTTAAAAGGCTCAACTCACCGTTTATCGATTCAATTTGTGGTGAATGTTGACCAGAAACGAGATTGTTCATGGAACCTGTGAGATCTGGGCTAGGATTTGTTTGAACAATTGTACCATTAGACTGCAATAACAACAAAATAATGTATAAATAAATAGCATAAATAAAATACAAGTATATGAATACATGTTCAAGTACCTGTGGTTGTACAATTTTTACAGTACCATACGCTTTATTATTAGTAATTACACTGTCATCGCCAATTCTTTCTTGTTCTGCACGATATTCGGGTGTTACAATACCTCTTCGATCTACAAAAGTCGATACAGATAAATAGTATTTGTACATAATAAAATAATAGTGTCAAAGAAAGAAAATAAACTACCAATTAAACTAGGCGGTGCCGGTCCGCACAATACATAAAAACAATTTGCACATATATTTCCTTGACTATATGGATTAAAACTTTCTTGCCCTCTTTTCATGGAAAATGATCCTTTAATCTATAAAAATAATTCAAATTGCTTTAAAATTATTGAAACATTTGGGGAGCATACATTTATATAATTATCAAAGTTTACATAATTTATATAATGCTTACATCTTCGTTAGTTGTCTGATTACTAGTAGTTAAATATGTATGAAAACCAGCAAGACCAAGAATACTCCAAACAGAGAAGAAACATATAACTCCTACAACAACACTTCCAGGAGATATCCTCACTGCTTCTAAAAATGGACTACCATCTCTTGTAACTATAATTCATTAAGTGAAAAATTAAAATATTTCTATTCTAACTTACTTATTCTTTATCTTTCTAATTAATATACTCACGCATTATTAAATGCGTAACGGCACATGCAAATATAAAAACGCAGAGAAATGCCAAAGACACAATAAAGGCATAAAAGTATCTGTAATTTCTTCTGCCGACACAATTTCCCACCCATGGACAATGATGATCAAACCTCTCTAATAAGATAATTACACACTTTTAGACTTTCATAAAAGTACTTTTTATGATAAGTGATTAAAAAATGTACATACCTACACAATTGTCACACAAGCTACAATGTGAGGCTCTTGGTGGTCTAAAGATTTTACAAGTGAAACAATATTTTAATTTTACTGGTTGTCCTTTAACTAATACCTCTTTTGTTCTAGGTGGAGGTCTGTACATTTTAGAATTACCATTATTTGGTACCTCTTTATCCAGCATGTAAAAGACGAATTTTTGAATTAGTAAAATTCATTATTAAAGTTCACTGTAATCACTATAATATATTAAAATACTACAAGCTGTAAAATTATATACTTATTTCTAAGAAATAAAATTTTATATACCAATTTGTTTTTCAATATAGGCAGCTTCATCGGCTGTTGCTCTGGGAATAACTCCAGGATCACTAAAACTTGTTCTAAATAAAGCTGACATTACAAAAATAAATAATAAACCACCAATAACTGGAATAGCAGGTGTTATATGAACTGCTAAGAATGGACAACTGAAACAAAATATATAAAACTATTAAAACGAAATCCTTTTAAATGTATATATGTAGTTTGAAATTTGTGGATAATGATCTTACTCAAAAGCAAAGAATAATCCACTTGTTCCAGCAATGAGGCACACTGTCACATAAAAGACTCCAGTTTGTGGTGCCATCATCACTCTGCCATCGCAACAAAATCGATTTCTGCCTGGGAAAAGTTCCCATTTTCGTGTTATGTGTGGCATTTTGTAAGAGTAAATGAACTGCTTTATGCACTGGTCATATGTACAAGTACATAACGCCCAATTTGTACAAGATAGTTCATTAGGGCTATGTTGCAGTGATTGTTTAATGTCATCATATGAGAGCTTGAACAATCATATTTCATCTTGGCTTATTGTTTTTCTTCCAATAAACTGCAACACATTTCAGGAATAATTGAACTGACACATTATTCCCCAATTTAACCTGACCTAAGAATCATCTGCAGGTATTTAAATTTAAAGTATTTGTAGTTTGTATTATCAGGACCATTATTACCTTGTATAAATAAAAGATCAACATACCGTGGATTTACAAATTGCTCGGTATGTTGTTCGCAACTTGCAAAGAACTGTGCGCCACTTGTCAACTTAACCTAATTGCTTCGTTTGCTGAAGACGCTGTGACACTCATATCTCATAAAAATCCGCATTTTGATGAAATTAAACGCAATTGTTCACCTTTTTTCGCATTCTATAAACAGCCATGAACTCACTTTCAAGACAACATCGCTACTGTCTTGTGGAGGCCACCGACTTCAAGAACACTCACTACAGGGTCATAGCTGAGGAAAATCAAAAGCGAAAATTCATTTGTAAACTAGGTCACTTCGATGTGACATACAAACAACACTTATGCACTCTCAATATAACCTTCGAAGCCGCAACGTACATTACGTTCTGGGAAGCCGTTGCATCGTTTCAGTCAATCGACCTTAGTTCGATGACAATAACGTATGTATTTACGGGAAAGGATTGTTAGCCGTCGTGTTTGCTCGAGATTACCTGTGCTTCCCTCTAACGGAGTATGTGGAAGCGCCACGTGATCCTGTTGCCACGTGACCTAGCACAAAACGGATTTCGATTTCAAGTGCAAGCGACTTTATCGAAAAATCGATAATAAGAGAGAATCAAGATTCTGAACGCATAAGATTTATATTTCATTTCTAGGCAGTCTACATACAACTAATCAAAACTATACAAATAATTAGAACTTTATGAAAATACTAAAAGAACAAATCGTTGAATATTTGATAACATCAGCTTCTAACAGGGATGAAAACACGTTGAAGGAGGAAGTGATCGTGCAAATTGTCGATCCTATGTACAGAGAATTCTTTTTAATTTAAGATCATAGGATTGATTATTTAACGGAAGGAGGGTGTGCAACATATCGCTCCTATTGCAAAATGGGTCGTCGACGCAATGCAGTACATCGTCGCTTATATACATGCACTCATTGAAACGAAATCTTGAAAATCGAAGAATCTCACTATGAACGCCATCTTCGGGTTCGTCTGGGAACAGAGCAACAGCGATCCTAAAATTTTACTGCACATACAAACTAACCCTGTAATATTGCCTCGTAGATCTATAGATCAGGCATTCCAGGTTAACGAACTATTTACAAAGAGATTCAAGCCTGCTTTACTGCGTTTCATTTAATAATATTCATATTATTGTAATATCGAATAATAACTTATTATAACTTAAGGGAAAAATTCGTTTCTTTAAACAATATAATACGATAGGTAAGGGTCTTTCCGTTTGAAAGCATATTAACTATATTTTTACCATCGTTTTCAAATAAAGAATTGATTAAAAAAAATTTTCCTTCTCTATACAGAAAAAATATCGTGTCTCAACAAACAGAGATACATTTTTCACGTAGGACGATTCAAGCGGTACAAAAACTAGTACGCATTCTGCGATGCACATGGTCGAATTATGGAGTCTCCTCGGGGCGCATCGTAAAACCGTTACGCAAATTTTTTTTAAATCAATATACGCAACCCATTGCTACGGACATCCGGGAACATTTTAGATCCTGCATATAACGAACAGTACGCTTTAAATTGCCGAGAGTATAAAGCGTGTGCATCGAAGATCGCGAGAAGGAGAAGCAAGACGAAGGAGAGAGTGATATCAACAGGCAATGGAGTCTCCGTTGAGGCGTCGTGGATGAAGCACAGACCGAGGGACAACGGTGTCCGGCGTCGCTGGCGAAAAGGATCGTGAAGGGTCGCGTTTAGTCGCGTCTGTACGACTTAAGGTAGTAGCTGACGAGGTGGTTTCAGGGTGGGAGGTTGAACAGAGCACGGGCTACGGAGCAGGGTGTGGGGCAAGGGGTCGGGTGCAGCGGGGTGCACGGGTATGAATCGTGGAGCGGGCGGATGGACGGACGGACGCAAACGCTGAAATCAGCTCGAGCGATCGATGCGATAAATGGATGCGTGCGATTGGTAGCCGGGAAAATCGATGATGAACAGGGGGGCACCCTACCTAGCCGCGAAAGCGAGCACGGCTGCACCGCCGGAGAGGATGGAGCAAAGACCGAAATATCGATTTTTAGGCCCCTACGCGGCGGTTCGATGCTCATATCTGCCCCGTGTCCCGTATCCGCGCGAAGCGCCTTTCAAAACACCAACGACGCGTGCAAGACATACTGTGCGGTGCCGCAAATCTCTCCGTGGATTATCGTGTGCAATTAAAATATACGCGACACAAACGAAAACGCGAGAGAGAAAGAAAGGTGAAGCCGAGTGACGCGTAACGAAGTTCTCTGGCCGATGTCGTCAGGTAACCACGTTGACAGCGTAACGACGCGCTGTGAAACACTTCGTAGCCGAGATTCTAGTTGTCTCCGCTTTGACGTTCGTGCGACGAGCGGCGATGATATCATGTTACCGCTTTCACGGTGAACACAATCAATGATCCTCGCCACGAAAACGATCAAAGATCGCCGTTTTCAGAGTACGTCAACGGCGTTACGTCCCGCTCGAAGATTGTTTTACCAAAGACGTTGTGTACAACGTGCCCTATCGTCGAGCGAACGTTAATGGAGATTCGGATGAGGGTGTGAATGCGGGGTGGCGAATAGTGTGCGTAATTATTTCATTACCATCGACGTTCCGTTCGAACCCGTTTAATATTGCATCGAAATCGAACTGTACTGCATCGTAATTAATCGAAAGGATTTTCCCTGGTGTTTTTCCTTCCTGTTATTGGTGATTTTGGAAGCGTAAGCAAGTATATTGAAAAATCGTTTGACGCCACCAACCGTGTTCGATTAGAAGAGGGAAAGACATTCGTACGCCGTGTTTTCCACGATTATCATGCACCGTTCGAATACTAAGAAATCATTAAACGGATGACCGTTTGGTGATCATGGTGAAATTTACTATTATTTATTTACTACTTAAACAAACAAGTAAACATTAAACAAACAATAATATATTTATATAAATTTTTACAGACAATAATAATTCTTTGAAAAATGTCCAAATTATTAATATTCCTCTCGTGCATAATAATTTTATTTAAATTTTTCATACAATAATAAATAATCGTTTTATGCGTTTCCAAATATTCATCGATTTTTTTTATTACGTATCATTTCACCGAATCCTTTCGTGCATCCCACGATGCAGAAATTGCACGAATACAAACGAGACGCGGTCGACGCAACAGGCTTAACAAATACAACAACGAAATACATGTATAAAGCGTATTAGATATAGTTTCGTAATAAGGATTATAATAAAGCGCTGTTTTTTCTGTTTGTCAATGATATAGAAAAAATGGCCATCGCTGCTTCGGAGAATTATCAACTTAAGTGGCACAGCTATGGCGCGCATCTGCATAGCTCTGTCGCGACGTTACTCCACTCAGAATCCTTCGCAGATGTCTTGTTGGCAACGTCCTGCGGCCGGCACGTGGCGGCTCATCGATTTGTCCTTGCCGCTTGCTCCTCGTATCTCAGTCATATTTTTCAAACATGCCATTTTGGTGCAAACACAAACGCTCCAATAATCGTGGTTTGTATAAATAATATTCCTTATGGATCTGTTATAGGACTCTGCTAATGAATAAAACATGTAATATAGATGCATTAATATTGTGATGAATATACGTTTTAGGTATTACCGACGGAAATTGGATATCGTACGTTAAAAATTCTAATTCAATACATGTACAGTGGCGAAGCTACCGTGACGAATGATCAGTTAGAGGGTGTGCTAAAGGCGGGTGACATATTACGTGTACGTGGCTTATGGAGATCAAATACGGCAAGTAAAAAGGAAAATATACAGTCGAATAATCAAAAGGTGGAGCGAGACAAACGGGAGCAACCACCGTTAACTGGTCAAATTCAAAAGATCAAGTTGGTTCAACCGAGTACGGAGAAGATCGTGGAAAATGTGCAACAAACTACGCCAATGCAACATAACGTTCAACCTCAGAAACCTACCTCAGAGAGAAAGAGTATCGAGAAAATTGAGGAGAAGATTAGCGAAACGGATAGTAAGAAGGTGTTGGAGGAAAATAAGAATAACGAGCAAAATAAGAATAAGGAAAATGTAGAGGCCAACGGAAAGAAAAGGAAAACCACCAGCAGCGATGCGGAATCTAATAAATCTAAAAGCGAGGACGGCGAAAATGTAAGATCATCTTATTTAATCGTATTAATCAAAGTGGAATGAAATGGAATTTTTATTTTCTCACGTCTTTTAGACCGAGTTAAATCTGGAGCTTTTAGTGAAAGATGAACCAATTTGGGAAGAAACTATCGATCCATCGGAATCATTGACGATAGACCACGAGATTGATATAAAACCGGTATGTAATGTTTTTGGGGATATGTACGTAATACTAATTGCGTATGGGAATATTGTTTCTTTTTCTTTACAGGAAATCGTGCACAGTGCAGATGAAGAGGAAGAATACAGTCCATTAACATGCGACATGTGCAGTCAAACGTTTAATCGGCCATCGGACTGGGTAAGACACATTGAATTTACACACGCTGATATGACCGAAAATCGAAGAAAAAAGAGGAAGGTAAGAATATAAAAATGTCAATAAAATATTCAGACATTAAATGGCATTAACATTGTTTATGTGTATGTCTTTTATTAGGGCGATGTAGACGACGATAGCAAAGATTTTCCACCTTTAAAGTGTGATCTTTGTGGTAACATGTATTCGACGCCTCAAGAATGGGTACGTCATATACAAACGGAACATACGGAGGAACAATTAGCTCTGATGAACAACTCGGCACCTCCTAAACCAAAAAGAGTTCACAGTCATCAAAAATTGTGCAACATTTGTCAAAAAGAATTTCCAAGCCATGCGTCAATGGTAATCCACCAAAGAACGCATACAGGGGAGAAGCCTTTTCTTTGTTCCTATTGTAAAAAAGGCTTTAACGTAAAAAGTAATTTGTTAAGGCATTTAAGGACATTGCATGACAAATATGTACATCCCAGCTTATACGGGAGTAATGGTAACACGAATGCTTAAGCCCTTATATAATTTTTCCATTGTATATGTTCTTTTCCTTGTTGACACTTCATTTGCAAAGTAAATGTCACGTGACATCGCAAATTTTTTAAATACGTTCGTAAACGAGAGGAACAGTATGTGCATTGATAATCCCACATGAGCATGTCAAATTGGTCCAAGTAATTAAATGTTATTGATGCGCGTGACGTTTTCCTTGAAAATGTACCGGTATTAACAGCTTAATAAGTTTTATTAAATTTAAACAAATAACTTCAGTATTCTTCTCTTGCATTAAATTTGATAGTTATACGTATTTAGATAAATACGTTTTCATTATTTTATTATATATAAGAATAATTGTTTTAGTTTTAAATGCGAAGCTATTATGTTAAAAACACAAAAGCAATATCAGGGCTTTAAAACCAAAGAGGCTGATTATTATTGCCAAAGTGTCTTGTTTCATTGCTACTTGTATTCGTTTTTTGAACATAGAACAGGATATGAAAAGTATTTATTTTGTTTAAAAATTTCATTTAAACGTGTAAGGATAAGAATTAACGATATACAGGTCTTCGCAGTATGTGCGTGTAAAATAATTCATAGTATAAATCAACATCTATTGATTAATATATAATTATTTAGTAACTATACGAGATCCAAATTATGTAAGATTAACTGTATACTTCTAGGCTATTCCATCCACGGTAGCCCTCTTATTCCCTCAGCTCGTAAGCTAATTATGTATTTTTATATTAAACTAGCTTATACACAAAAGGTATAAGAAATAAGATAACTAAAAATAAGTGAAAAATTTGAAATTTAATTAGGCTAGGACATAAGGAATAACACATAATTCAAAATTTATCAAATGTTTTGGAAATATATTGAGTTCTTCTTACATATAAAAAATGCAATATTATCAAAATATTGTCACAGTTTATGAAACGGTAACAATATAAATCTTATAAGAATGACACCATATTACCATGTTAATCATGATCGTGTCACTCTACTACGAATCTTAGTGTCAATTCTACGTTGCGCTAACACTGTGACGAGCCAAATGACTTTTAAATGTAAAATTTAAATATATTACCTTCAAAATATTTTTAATTATCCTTAATCGTTCCTCGATGAATATCAAAATATACCATTTTTTTTTCTTTATCTGAGCAATACTATGATTCTGTTTTTAATAAAGTCTTGAAAATTCTTAATCTAGTAACGTGATAAATATAACAGTAAGAAAATCGTAATATATCTATCAAATATAAGCAATGCTATAATACACTGTATTAATGTAGGCTTATATATCAAAGAATGGTTTCAAGAATCTTAATTTTCGTCATCATCATCAATTTTTGGTGCCAGGTAATATCTAATATGCCCAATGTCTCCAATTTTGTATTCACATACTAAGGGCACGTCATTAGACATTGATAGTTGTACTTGTGCACACAGAGGTCCAGCCTTTACAAAACAATTAAGATAACGACACGAAAATGTTAACTTCACTGGTTCTTGCATAGTAACAAGTACTGCTTCTTCTTCTTTATCTGCATCTGCTGTTTGTGCTAACTTAACAGTGGCTGAAAAGAAATTAATTTACATAAGTACAACCATAATTTATAATAATGTTAATTGTATAGATATATTTTTACATTTTGCAATATACACTTTTCAAAATTCATTTGTATTTTAATGAGTTTTACTATAGAAATGAACATGTCCTTTAAACATGAAAGTGTAAACAGACATACATATACATATGTGTATATAAATACATAAATACAGGTATGCCCTTTTCTTTACAATAGTGAGGGTCAAACAAGTAAATACTTTCTAGGACATTACTTAATTTCTAGCAGTTGCTATGTAACTTTTGTGCTTGAAGAGTGTTCACTGCAAGATGCTAAAGAGGCAGAGCAAATATTATAGAATTAACGTAAGTACACATCTATTTAATGTATTACAATATATCAAAATACTTTTTCTGTCCTTTATTGTATTATATAAAAAGAATTGGCATACCTTGTCCAAAATCTCCAGAAGCACTGAATTTTATGCCCTCCTTAGAACAAGCAAATGTTATTGATTCTCCAAATTGGCTCAAATCTCTACAGATACGTGAAAACTCTTGGGATGGCATTTTTACAACACATGAATATGAAGTTTCCTGTAATAATTAATAAGTTTCATTATACATATAAGCAAGATATAATTAAGACACTTTAGTTTTAATGATACCAAGATGTTCCTGATCCATGTTTATAAGTTTCATTTCATATTCTGCAAGTTTTTCTTTATTTGGTGATTCAAATATGAACATAATGTTTTCAGGATTATCTACTGCTCGCAATGTTACTGTATCTTCTGCACCAGCACACCGCAAAATTTTGGTCATGCTAGAAATAATTTATAGATTTTAGTTTACTACTCTATTAATAACTCCTATCCTGTTAATATTCTTATCACTTTATTCTAATTTTTTTATCTACAAGTGTGTGCTCATTATGTTATTATGAGAAAAGAAGACTTAACCTTGATAAATTTTTTATTGAAATTATTATCTTACCTTGCAATACTCATGCCCATTGACAAATTTCTATCACATCTATATTTGTCAAAACCGTCGCTTCTGAGATTAAGAGAAACCAAAGAGACGTGGGCATTGTCCATAGCTTGTACTTGGATACCAGAATCGGAACATTCGAAGGTAGCTTCGGTTAAAAGATCTTTTATTGCATCTAACACCTTCTTCAAAATCGCACTCTGTACTAAACGTGCCTCGAACATTTTTCGAGATTAGTTTTCTCGACTCTTAATTCACACAAACTGAGAAGTACAACAAGTACCGTCACTTAAAGTAGTTATTACACCAATAGCGATACCCGCGCTTTCTTACCGCCGAGGTATCAGGAAGTAGATGGCATTTGTGTGCGCCGGAAACAGATTTAACTTTTAATTCATTTAATTCTCTAACAACGTAATATAGATTTCGAATTGAATTATTTAGTTTAAATTTAGTTAAACACGTTTTATAAACTGTAATATAAATTGCAGTTTTTTTATTTTACATAAAAAAAAAACACTTTTTCTATATATCGTATGTGTTGTAGCATATATCAAAATTTTAATCAGTTTCACAAATATATAAATCATAATTAAAATCATGAGAAAGAACGAGGATCAGCACTTTATGAAGTAAACATTAGCTCTTGTTTAATACATAAAACTCATACCTTAGGATTAGATGTTTAGAAAGAAAAGAATTGAAAAATGATATTTTTAAAAAAAATTTTAACTAAAAATACAGAAAATAATTTTAATTGTATTCACAATTGTTTACATGAAGAATCTTGTGAGCATATATAAGCGTAAAAATTTATAAGGTAAAAACATATGGGTACAAAAGTATTTAAATATGACTCAGCTACTAACATTATACTTAAATAAATGCAGTCTCACTCGTTACACTCGTCTCACTTTTGAACTAGAATTATTTACATATTACGTATGACACCAAATTTTTAAAAAATCAAATATTAATCAATGTGGGAGTTCAACTTGTTAAATGTATTAAAAACCGATATCACCAGCCATGTTATCCAACTCACTGAACATTTGGTCAAGATGCTGAAACAAAAATGACCATAAATTAATTATATTTCATTTGTTTGCATTTCATTTTCATTATACGCAATAATCATTAATAAAATCATTAAGGATATTTTACATACATCGGATGGTTCGGTATCTTTTGCGATTTCTTTCGGTTTGTCATCCAATAATAAGCTTCCATTTTCATCTATATCTTCCTCATCATCTTCTTCTTCATAATCGTCTTCATTATCGTCATTGTCATCTGAATCGTCTTCCTCTTCGTCGTCATCATCATCATCATCATCATCCACATCATCATCTATCTCATCATCAGATCGAATATTAGATGATGTATCCATTTCTTCATAATCTTCTGGCTCTTCCTTAATCTCAGTAAGCATTATGGTTTCAGTAACAGAATCTCTTTCAGTTGAACAAGGTGGAGGAGCTTCAGATGCTGACGGTATTTGAGGTAATTTACCAGTCTAAGGAAAACATTAATTTTGAACATTTTTACTTATTCTTTTTTCGTTTAAAATATTTTTTTAAGATGTAGAATTTATATATTTCTACCCATGGTTGTTGTTGTTGTTGTTGTGCTGATTTAGCTGATGCAATTGAAGTTAGTGTAGGGGAAGAAGACGATTGCACATTTGCATTTTGTTCTTGAACCTGAGATGATGCTTTATTTTGCACTTTACTAGAATTATCTTGTAACCTATTTTCTACATTAGTTTCCAATTTTGCCGCATTTTTATCAGTGTGATTAGGTTTTTGTTCCTTCTTTACTTGTGAATTACTATTTGGTTCTTCTTTGACCTTTTTAACATTAGGTTTAGGCTCTCCAGGAAGACAAGTATTACCGCGCTGCCTTCTAAACCTAACAATAATACTTCTGGTATCCCACATTAAATCATGTGCTTGTTTATAAGCAGATATAGATTCATCTACACTGTTATACCTTATAAAAGCATATCTACAGACCAAAATAAATATATTACACAAATATATATGTACAAAATAAAAATTGTAGGTTTTATAAAATTAATAACGTACCGAGTATTCCTCATTTTCTGTGCATACCCTACATCTACTCGAGCAGCTGTTGGAAACTTACTCTTTACTTCATTAACATTAACAGATTCTGGCAAATTTCCTATGTATAATGTGTAAGGATCTATTTCCTCTGGCATTGGATTATCTTCATCCCTTAAGGATTTTCTTTCAACTTTTAAATGACCTACTCCAAAAGGTATTTTTTCCAACTCTTTTATGGCTTCACCAATATCAACACTTTCTGCCATCTGTATGAAACAATATCTAGGACCACTAGGACTTTGAAAGTGAATATTCTGTATACCAGGATGAAATTCTCTAACAATATCTTTGTTTAGATCAGGATCTGGAAACTTGATTATTAAACTTTGAGCTTTAACTGTTTTATTGTACTCATTTTCAATTTTCAAAGCTCTTTCTGCATCTTCTCTATTCCATGGTCGACTAGGATAACTTTGGGACATAGGTTTCCTTTGTTTGTTCTTTTTAACAACAACTTCCTCCTAAAATAAATATTATAATAATTCACAATCAGCAATTAAATAACAATTATATTTATTATTAATTCCACGTTATCTTACCAAAACAATTTTAACATCCTGATCTGAGGTTTCTTCTCCATGCCTACTTGTCAAAATACCTGGAGGTATAGGAGGTAAAGAATGATTAGGAAGAGGAACAGGCATGTGATTCATGATTGTATCACCTGTAGATGTAGTGTAATTATTTCTTTGCCACTCCAAACCAAGACTATTACTTAATGTTGCACCAAAATAGGCTGCTTGATCAAACTGACACTGACTTTGTCCAAACCTTGCAAGCCTTCTATTTTTACGATGAAAATTACTTCTTTGAACAAATATATTACTCTTATTGTGAGTAAATCTTTCGCGTCTCATGTAGTTACCTCTTAGAGGCATTTCTCTTTGAAATGAACTTGGAGTCATATCACGTGGAGGTGGAGGTGGTAAAGGTGATGTTTGAGGTGTTATCCATTGCCATGGTGCAGGAGGATGTGTCCATGCTTGTAATGGTGTAACTTGGGAAGGCACAGGTCCAAATACATGAGGAGGTGGTGGAACACCACTAGAAGGAGGAGGCATAGGAGGTAATGGTGGTTGTCCTGGTAAAGGTTGTGTGACAGTTGATGGGGATGAAGAAGCTGAAGTATAAGCAGGATAAGAACCTTCATATCCAAAATTGATACACTCTTGCTTAATGAAAGATCGCTTTGTTTCTCCGTTTTCTTCAGTTATCTAAAAAGTGAAAAATTGTGAATTAAAAATAAGAAGATATGTCCAAATCTTATTGCCAAACAAAATTTATAATTTAACACTATTATAATGAAGTTATAATCATTAGAAAATTGGATCAGTTTATTAAATATACGAAAATATTTTGTACAACCGCTGTCAAACTAACCTTCCACAAAAATACCATTAATGGAATAAATGCAAACTAGTATTTATTATTATTGTAAAATTATGAGAAATAGTGAAATAAGTGTTTACCGAACGTTTCATAATGGAGATAAAATTGCTGATAATCTTTAGAGAAAAATTATGTTCTTTAAATTATAATGTAAATACATCGTACAACACAACGAGGGTGACCAGTGTCAAGCTACTGATTGTTACTGTAGCACGACAGGGATACCAACCCTTATTTCAAATTTTTTGTGCTACATAAAGAAAAACTAATACTATTTATTACAATTATTAAATAATCTACTTTTACTTTTTCTACTACTGTTAGAAAAAAGAGCATTTTATATATTTTACAATATTAAAATGTTTCAGTATAAAACTATATGTACAATATATTTTTCTATCATTATGAATACAATTTCCATTGTATATTTTATATTTACAAAGAAATAATAAATATAATTTAATAAATAATTTACTTCTGTTATACTTCATCTTATTGCATACGGTTAGAAATAAATTGTAGGAGAAGATATTATTATGAAAGTTAATAATTACTAAAGAATTATGAATCTATCAAGGTATATTAATGCTACATTTTTTGAACATGCGTTAACAAAAGAAAATCTAAAATATTAAAGAAAAACAATTGCATAAATATAAAAAACAGGAAACGAAATAAAAGTAATTGGTGTCACGACATCGGATAAAATGATACGTTACGTTAAAAAAAATTCTTGCAATTCTGAAATAATATTAGTTTGACAATCACGAGAGAGAAGAGAAAAAAATTATATACAGAGCGCGTTTCTTAATTCTTTTCTATAACGTCATAGTATAACTATTCATCGTTAATTACCTTGCTCAAATTGTATTGGGATAACTTTTTGGTGCGCCGACGCAATTTCCTATCTTAGAGAAAGGAAATTTCGGTGTAAAAATTTTGCCGACAGATGCCCCTACTGTTAGTTCACTGAGCGAACATATTGTGCGTGTAGAGCTCGTGTGACCGTGTGACATGGCTTCGAGTAACACAGAAGAAATTGAGGTATTTTTTCTAACATTTTTTCCAATACTACACCTGCTGTAAAAAGAACACGTTAGTTCTTTCAAATGTACTTACGATTCAAACATTAAGAAAAAATTTGAACTTTTTTTTTAAAACAGCGTGGTCACTTCAACACTCCTTACCCCTCCCATCTGTTCCGTGCACGGTGAAAACTGTCTAACGAGCTTAAAAAAGGCATATTATATTACTAGTAGAAAAATAATATATTCATACACGCAAATTATAATTTATATGGTGCATAAAATTCAATCAGTATTACTCTAAACATATAAAACGTATTAAATTAATAAAAATCATTAGAAAGTACCACATTCAAAGAAAACACATATAGGTTAAAAAAGCTAGGTATAAAATTATAATCGTAATCATTTGCAGGAAGTTGAGAAGAAGGAGCAAGAAGTAATCAACTTCGATGAATTCCCGCCGGAGGTTTTAATTAAACATCCACTTCAACATACATGGACCCTTTGGTATTTTGAACCTGATAAAAATAAAACATGGGAAGAAAATCAAAGAAAAGTTACAAATAATAGCTTATACAACCATATAAAGGCTGCATCAGAATTGCAAATAGGTTGTGACTACAGCATGTTCAAACAAGGAATTAAACCTATGTGGGAAGATGAAGCTAATAAATGTGGTGGAAGGTGGCTTCTAAACTTAGACAGAAAGCTCAGAAACATGGATTTAGATCGCTTTTGGTTAGATACTCTTTTATGTATAATTGGTGAAGCATTTAATGGATATTCAGATGAAATTTGTGGGGCAGTTGTAAATATAAGGGGGAAAACAGATAAAATTGGAGTATGGACTGCAAATGCCAAAAATAAAGATAGTGTTTTGGAAATTGGGTAAATAATAACATATATTTACATAAAAAATTCATTAACACAAAATGTAAATATTTAATTATGTTCTTTTTGCAGGCGTAAATTGCGAGAAAGGTTAAAAATTTCATCAAAAGTTAGCATATGCTATCAAATCCATAAAGATGTTATGGTCAAATCAGGAAGTCAAGCAAAAAATGCCTATGTTGTTTAAATGCTCTTGATATTATGTTCTTATCACTATTCATTAAAATTTGTCAAACAACATTTAACATATATTAATAATGTGGATATTATACAAAATTTAGATTATTATAGCAAACAAATGAAACAAAAATTCAATGAAAAATTTTTATAAACTACATTTTTATTACAACTAAGTATTTTCCTAGTAAAAGTCATTGAACAAAAGCTAATAAACATGTACTGGAATAGATGTATATCATTAATATAAAAAATTATATTAATGTAATAAGTAATTTAAAGTTAGATTATGAAAGATACGCACAGGCTGCTGTATTTTTCAAAAAAATTAACACTAACATACATTAATTACACTTGATTAAGTAATTTTCTCTTTACACGTCCTTTATGAATGTTACTTATATAAACAATAAAGACTGCTGTAATAAGTTTCTTAAAATAAAACCTACAAAATTAGGTTGCCATGTTTAAGTAATGAATCATTAATAAAATACAGCAACCTATTTCACATTAAGGTAGCATAGCAATATTTAATAAATGTTCTCACAATTGTTTGGAAAATGATTATATTTAAGTTTTTCTTATAAATATATTAGAAATATAAATTACTGTTTCTACATATTTTTTTTTATTTTCTGTTTTCCTTAAACTAACAATTATTGTTTAAACCCTATTATTAATTTTTCAGCAAGTTCTTTGAGATCCCTTCGTCTTGCTTTTTCTAAAGCCTGTATTAAATTTATCTTCCAATTACCAGACTTGTTTTGGGACATACATAATTTTAAAGCCTACAAAATAGTCTATGTTACTTTTATGTAAAAATTATTGTCTGAAATAAATACACTTTAATTACATCTTACTTGATAACTTTGTTCTTTCAAATTAAAAGCATAATTATTTTCAATTGCATCAATTTGATACTCTGGTAAACCTAAATATCTGACAGTGTCTCTCCAAGAACGTCCAATTTTTTCACTAATGTTTGACAGTACTTAAAAAATAAGCTTTTTATATAGTAATTTTATAGACAAATGATAATAAGTATTATAAAAGAGATAAACTTATACTTACATATTTGTTGCAATGCAATTTCATCTTCAAAATAATTTGTTTTATGATCTTTGTATTTAGGTAATGATTCATTAAGAATCTTTATTTGTGATGTACCACTTGCATTTAATAATACAGAATTATTCTCATGTTTATCTTCTATTAAAAATAATATATAAGTTAATTGAAAAATTTATGTAACAATTAAAGGTATCTATATTACTTATTATTTTTTAAACATATTGCATTGTGCATAATAGAATAAACAAATATAGTTTATATTAAAACAGACTCACCATCCACATCTTGGTACATATTATAGAATGGAGAATATTGTACAGTTTCAAGGTAAATCTTATAATTGTTAATTTTTTTTTGTATTGGAAGATCATTTAGAAAGTTATTTGAAATATATAAAAGTGGTTCTATATTAACACAACTCAGAATATCACGTTTTTCCAATACTTTCAATAATGTATTTAAATCCTTAATCTGACTCAGCTTACGGTTTGAATCTATATATGCTGCATAATGCTCTTTAAGTGCATTTAATATACTTTCACTCATAAAAATTTGGGTAGCAGATACAAATTCTGCACGTATAGAAATAAATTCTGCTTCCATCATTGTAGTGCTAGTCAGGGGATTCCCCCTTTCAAGATTACAATTAATATTTAAAATTCCTTTTAAGTATACTTTAGAAGTTTAAAGCGATTATTTTAGTATTTTTACATACCTTAATTCATAAATATTTTGATAAAGATTAATTTGTTTGTTATTATAGCAATTCCAGCATAATAAATGTTATGACAATCTTATAAACTCTTAATACATAAATCGAAATCTTATTTATTGCAAAGTTGGTAAATACTTTTTTCAAAATATTATTATCATTTAAATTAATTCTTTCAAAAATTAATTATTATATAACATTCCTTAAACCTTTCTTGTGTATTTTAAAAGGCTTAAGTACATATATACTCGTCTATTTATGTACATCTGCTTAGAGACTTACCAAGTAGTTTTTATATGAACTTAAAGGTTGTTTTTATGGAAAAAATTCGACCAATACATAACCTTCAATATTTAGAAAATTTGTATTTTTTAAATTTGCGATGTTGTAATAAATCTAATTTACAAGTAAAGGAAATTAATTAACAAAACATCAAAAATCAGAATCGTTTTTGTTTAATTTTAGTATTGAAGCCAAATAACATGTTCATAAAAACCTGCATTAATGTCAACAATTACTAAACTTGTTTAAAACACGTGCATGTGCTTTTGAGAAAGATTTATTTTGTGAAAATTAATAAATATGAATGAAACACAAAAAGTACAGTATTTGATTGTTGATACAAGTGCTTTCATCCGAAATGCAGGTTTGCAGGTAAAGTTCTTCTTAAATAAGAACAATGTCAATATAATATAATATTTACTGTCA